TTTTTTTTAATGTCCAGAGGACCAGATTGAACTTTTTTGGATTTTTCTACCTGGATTATTGAGCATGCATCAGGATATACTCAAAGCTCTTTACACTACAATCTGTGCCTTTATTTACCCATTCAACAAGCACTCTACATCTATACAAAGAATAGTCAGAGCTTTATCACATTCATACACCAACGGGACACACATTGGAGGCAATGAGGGATTCAGTGTCTTGCCCAGGGACACATCAGCATGTGACTGCTGGTGGAATTGAACCCCCAACTCTTGCATCGGAGGACGAATGCTCTAACCACTCAGCCATAGCCGCCCTTGTGATAATATAAATCTAGTTCAACCTGTCAGTAAACTGTGACAGACAGAGCTGAGCCTGTGGCGTTCAATAAACCCAATGATACTACGAAAATATTGTATAATTTTTACAGTTCAGGGGTGGAAAAGTGTAGCAGTTTTACAGCTATTGGGCTAAAAGTTGGTGTGGCGGTAGCAGAGAGTCATTCACAGCATGAACTTGTGATATTGCATGAGAATGTGCATAAATATTTTCAAGGTTTGACCAAAATGACGACAACTCCAGTATTTCTCAACGTACTGTCATTAAACACTAGATGCTGTTGACAAACTGAACAAAATTTTTAAATCTACTTTTCATGTTTTTGACTTTGAATGTGACATCTTGGCACTTGCTGTTGTTTTGCCTCTGGCTGCAGCCCCCATGCCTTTTGCACAGATTGAATGAATGGATGAAAAAGACATTTACATACAGGGGCACATGTTTACACTGATGCCCCACCCCCACCCCCACCCCCCAGCAATAATGACTGCCAGAGTCATAAATGCTACCAGAATATTTTGTATATTGAGGTTTATATAAATCTGAATGAACTTCTCTTTGATTTATTGTGAAGTTTGGGGTAATACATACAAAAAGTTGTCTACAAAAAATGTACATAATGAAAAAAAGAGCAATAAGAATGGTACACAGTGTTTGGTGTTGAGAACACACAAAACAACTTTTTATAATTCATAGCTTATGAAATTTATCAGAGTCAGAGTTTCTTTAATGTCATTCGCACCTCATGTGGTACATGTGGTGGAACGACATTATGTACACAGGGTCCCAGTTACATCCAACAATAAAAATGTAAAAGAAAAACAATGATAACGTCTAAGATATGAACTAAGAAAAACAACAACTAAAAATACACTAAGCACTAATAAGATAAAAAAATTACATCAAACAACAGCATAAACATGAGCATGAGTATGTGTAAGCAGATGAGCACGCATGAACACATCAACATGAAACGGATCAGCAGCAAAATGAAACAGATCAGCAGCAACATGAAACAGATCAGCAGCAACATGAAACAGATCAGCAGCAGCATGAAACAGATCAGCAGCAACATGAAACAGATCAGCAGCAGCATGAAACAGATCAGCAGCAACATGATGTGATTTTTCACAGTGATTATCCTGGTTAGAGATTCATGACTCTAACAGCC